ACAATTTTTTTATATCAATTTTATATTCAAACTTTCAAAAATTTTCAATTAAGAATTTTCATCCATTTTAAAGATTTTTTGTCCATATTTCATCCAAAATGTATTGTTTTTTGTCTCTTGTAAAACAAATGTCATTTTATAGGAGACTTAAGTTTTTTTAGTTGATTCTAATAGAAGTTTTTAATTGAAAAATCAATCAATGGTGAAATTGATACAAAAAATAATTTGGATGTAAAATTGATAATACTCTAATAATTTGGTGGTATATTTGATGTTTTTCTTAGTATTTTTTTTATTTGATGACAAAAAGTATGTTTGAGTTAGCTTCTACGTTAATCAAAACTATTTATTTTTTTTCCAAACAATCCTAGGGACAGTTTACATCAATTTAAGGCATTCAGAAGAATAAATTCCTTAGGATATTGGGCTAAAGATTCGAGCAAGAACAAAGAAAGTGAATCGATCTATAATCACGAAACCAACCGCTTAATGTTATAATAACAGCATTAGTAAAGAGAGATGATTTAGTCTGCCATTACCGATTTCTGAACCCTACAAATTCCAAATTAAATTGAAAAATTCATTGCAATAATTTAATGTAGCCGTTAAAATTATCCAACTCCTTGTTAAATGTTTATGCATACGTTTTTGCTGCTTCCACTCCGTTTTTACATTTTGGCTGCCTCTAGCTACCCATCTGATATAAGTTGTTCTGGAAGCAACAAATTACCTAGTGGCAATAGGAAAAATACTTTTATTTATTCGACCCTCCAGCCTCGCTAACTCTTCATTTACAATAAGATTCATTTTCAGCTTATCCTCAATAATCACTTACCTACAAGCTACACGATCTAAGTCATGTCAAAATTAACTTTGCCCCTAATTCCCACTCTCTCTCTTCTCATCATGCTTTTCTCTGGTATTTTCTCTCGTTTTCTATATATCCAAGTTTCGACTTTTCTTCTCTTTCTAGCACTAGGTGAAATGTTGTTTTGTAAGATCCAACTACATTATTCAAATATGACAAGGGTCCATGCCCTAATTGTGAAAACTACTTGTAATATTGTCTCTTTATCATCTTTCTGTATTTTCTGTTATGATGATTGACCACTAAAATGTTATTGAAATTAATTTGTTAGCTACGCTTGTTTGATCCCTTTTATAACGTACAAATTTTCCATCACAGCTTCAACCCATTTTCTTTGTTGTTCTACAATATTCAATATGTATATATCTGGAACACCTTTAAATCTTATTTAAATTAATTTGTTAATTAGCTCAAGTTATGCAAAGTGTAATAGGGTAAATTTTAGTAGTATTTTGTTAAATTTAATGGTCTTATTGTGCAGGAGGACAGGTGATCGAGCTTGCTAATGGACAGGTATGAATATATTATTCTAAGACTAAAAGCAGATCAAACCGTTATGATATTTGAGCATGGGCTGATCACGCATGTTGGTGCAGGAAAAGACCTGGTGTGTTGCGAAGCCATCATCAAGTGATGCAGAATTGACAGCAATAATTGATTATGCATGTTCTGTACTTGGGGATAGATGCAAGCTAATACAAGAAGGTGGTTCCTGCTACTATCCTTGCAGCAACATCAACCATGCTTCAATTGTCATGAACTTTTATTACCAATTCATGGGCAGAAACAAGTGGAATTGTGATTTCAGGGGATCTGGTCTAATTGTTAGCACTAATCCAAGTAAGGCCATTTTCAAATATCTCCACTCATGGTCAGAACCTTACGTAGTTTTCTATATTTGTTGACTGGATGTGTGTATTTTTCTATTTTTTGCAGGCTATCCCAATTGTGATTATGCTTAGTGGGTACTGTTAGTTGCAAGGCACACTTTCAGTCTTTCACCGGATAATGGACTTAAATATATAAGCTTTGTTTTCTCTGATTGTGAACATCTTATTATTGTAGGGGAAAAGAAAAATAAAATATCGAACCATGCATATATGGTTACATGATTGTGTCTTTCAGTACTCTATATAAGGATTCTTAGGCCATAATCAGTATGGTCCATTTCAATCTCCACGTAGTACTTTCATGTCTAAATTAGCTGTGGCTGTTCTTCGTTTTAAGCTTTCCTTATGTTATATGTAAGTAGCAACATTAAAAACATAACATTTAATTAGCTCCATGACAATGATGAGACTTTTGACCTGCTTTATTTATTTGCTTTTTTATTTCTTCTCAAATCTATTGTTTTGTGCTTGCTTGGTATTGCTATACTCGTACTTTTGCTACTAGAGATGGCAATGGATTGAGTGTTCGACATATTAATTCAATTTTTTTATCACATCTTTAAAAAAATATCTTATTTATTATCTATTAAGAAATCATTATATAAATATTTTCTCAGTCCATACTAGTTTATTCGTTTATTTAATACTCATTAAATAACTCGTTAAATTTAATTTATCAAAAATATTCTTTTTAGTCTCTATATTTTTTTAAAAAAAAATTATTCTTAAAATTCATTTTTTTTTTTTGTGCATATTGGTCATTTATTTATAAGTTTTTTTGGTCCTCAAAGTTTTCGAAAAAAATATTTTGACCCTTAGATTTTATGCAATTAGATCCCTACATGTTAATAAAAAAAATATCTAAATAAATTAGTAGGTATTAATAGAGTAAAAATTGGATACCAATACCCCGAAACCATATTAGTGGGTATGCATTTTTTTTATCATTTACCTACTTCAATACATATTAGATATTCTTAATAGATATTTATTAGATTGGATAAAACAGTATCGATTTTATACCCGGTTTATTGTCATTCCTACTTGTTATCCTTGTTTTGTAACTAAAAGCACAATTGCTCATTGTGGGGTCTACTTTTTAAGAATTAAAATGACAATTTTTTTCATTATTATTATTTTTTTCTAAATTACACATTTCAAAGATGCTAGTGTTTTACATCATTATATTTCAAATCTGTGTTTAAGGCTAAATGGTTAAAATCTCTTCTAAACTTTAAGTCATTTAAGAATTTGTCTCTCAACTTTTAATTTTGAATTGGGCCTTCCTTTAACTATTTTTCATTTAAAATTGAGTACTTTTGTTAGTTTTCTATCAATTTTAACGATGAAAGTACATATAACTTGTATGTATTGACTTTTTAAGTTCAACGGCTAAAAATTATACCAAAACTTATGGATACTTTGCTTCTTCTTCAAAAACTTTTTTTTCTTCTAAAAATATTCTTTAATTGTTTAATTCTTAGCCTTTAGGAGGGGAGAAACAAGTTTTGAAGAGAAGTCAAACATTTATAAGTTTTGACATATTTTTAGATGATAAAGAATTACATTGAAATGTTAAAATTGATGAAAAAATAGTTGGAGAAAGGTCAAATATTAAAAGTTGAGAGACCAACTCTCATATGACTTGAAGTTTAGGAGAGTTTTGGATAATTTAGAATTTTTTAATATGTTTGATTTTATTAAAACGATGTGCATGTGTATATCATTTTGTTTGAACATTTTTTTTTGTATATTTTTTTAATTTAAAATTGCTATTATACAAAGTTAAATCATTTAAAATAATTAAAATGTATAATTGTTAAAATATTTTTAGTATATTATAGTTCTTATAGGTCACCGTTGGAGAGTAATATAGCATTATTTTTGAGGTCTCACTCAATAGATTAATCTTTTTGGTTGACTTGATATCGAATCATACTAACTAAACGGTTATGAATTCGAATCTCACTACCTTTATTCTGTTTTACTAAAACTAAATAATTAAGCAAACTTCTAATCTCACCCCCATATTCTTTCTTATTAAAATTAAATAAATAAGTACAAGATAGTAATGGATCCGTGCAAGATTAAAGTCCAAAGAGTTTTATTTGAGAAAATATGTTAAAGAGTAATATAAAATTATTTTTGAAACCTCACCTGATAAGTTAAGCTTGTGGGTCATTTATATCTCAAAATCACATCAATATAATTTAATCAAATGCTATTTAGCTGCACAACATAGTAACTAGTTACCAAACACTACTCATTAACTAGTTATCAAACATTGCTTTTATCCTACAACACATCACAGTAACTAGTTACCAATTATTGCTTTTATCCTAAAACATATAACAACGAATACTAGTAGTTACCAAACACTATTATTATTATTATTATTATTATATATCTAAAAGAGGTTGGGTGATGAATTTTACTGTTCATCCACTCATAAATCACTATTTTTTTTTAATTATTATTTCTAAATTCTTTCGTTATGGTCCTAGAATTTTAATCCCTTCGAAGATTGGAGAACAGTTCCCTGGCAGCTTCGATCGTCCCAGCAACACACATTACTTCAATAAGGAAAGTTTAAATGATAATATTGGGTTCTACACTGCTCTTCTGCATTACCTTAAACAGTTTTGATGCCTTCTCAAGATGGCCATGTTTACAAAAGCCATCTATCAAAATTGAGTAGGTCACCAAATTTGGAAGCAGGCCATTAGAACACACCTCATTTAAAAGCTTTAGGGCATCCCAAGGTCTCCCTGCTTGGCAGAAACCTTTCATAAGAGTGGTGTAAGTGACAGTATTAGGAGTCAATGCTTTACAAGACATTTCAGTGAAGAGTCTCTTTGCTTCATCCATCCTTCTACTCTTGCAATATTCATCTGTATTTGTTGTTGTTGAAGCTGAAAAGAAGAAACAGAAGAAGAAGAAGCAGTAGCTCTAAAAGCGCTTTTCCGCATCATCATCAGCGTTCTTTGGCAAACCTGCTCCACTCTCTCACTTTTCAGTGCTGTCTTCTTTCTCTGGTTCCACCTTTTTCCACAAATCGAAGGACCATATATCCTTTTGAAGCTCAAAATTTAGACATAAAACAATAATGGGCCAGGCCTAATTACAAAAGCAGAAACATCTTGACAAGCCCAGTTCTTCTTGCAAACAAACGGTTAAAGATAGTTGTAGGTTTGTAGCTCGGCTTGGTTCAATTAATATGGCCTCAACTTATTTATAAAGTAATGGTCTTTTCCTCTTTTTTTCTTTTTGATCAAACATATTTATTTAAAAAAAAACTTATTAAAAGAGAAAATCAAAAAAACTTCTTATTTTTATAGTGATAATTAATTCAGTCTATCGTTATTGTGCTAACTATCTAATCGTTGATAATGGACTGTAAAATCTTATTTGTCAAAAAACAAATAAATAAAAATCAGCTTTATGATTTATAATGGTATTAAATTATATTATTGTAAAAAAAAATAAATTCAATCATTTGCAACATTGAATTTCATTATTACTTTTTAAATAAATGTTAAAATTAACAATTATCTACATTTTTTTTTTCACTAAAACTAATAAAATATCAATGTAAAATTTTTAAGGGACAGAAAAAAAATTAAAAATAAGTATCAAACTAAAAGTTATAATAAGAAATTAATTGTATACAACAACAATATGTCCTCCGACAAATGCGAAACCTATAAGCTAAAATTTTCATTATGGGTATGGATCTTGGGTCTACTAACTTACATGGTCCAACTACATTGAGTCCAATAACATATTTTGGATTCCAACATCAAAATTAATTAAAAGTCTAAAAAATTTTTGGACAAACTTCAAAAATACCATACAACTATACAGGGAGTCTCAATATTATCACCAAATATTTTTTATTAATTTTTCCATCAAAGTTTTTTTAAAAAATCTATTGAGGATTTTTTTAAAAATTATTTTTAAAGACTTTTCCATCCAAAATGTAAAAACTACGTCATTTTGAAACAAACTTAACTCTTTTGTTTTTATCTAAGTGATTCTAACTCCAATTTTTAATTGACAATCAAAATAATTTAATGATAAAATTGATATAAAAAATATTTTGAATGCAAAATTGATAATACCTTTGTATATAGTTTGGTAATATATTTAATATTTACTCAAATCTTTTTGTACTTTTAATGGTTAGAGAATTAAAAGAAAATAAAAGGCATGTGTTTTTTTAACAGTAATTACTGTTCAAAAACTATTCATATGCTTAAATTACAATTCATTTCATGACAATTTAATTAATTTTTATGCATGGTTTTTTCATGATTTTTTTTTGTGTGTTTTGAGGCATTAATATGCAAAATTAACACTTTTTATTTTTATTTTCGTCCCTCATGTTGTAACATTTTTTTTCTAATCCTTAACTTTTATTTTCATGTAGCGTGTATATATATATATATATATATGTATATATATATATATATATGTGTGTGTGTGTGTATATATGTATGTGTGTGTGTGTGTGTGTGTGTGTGGGCGCGCGTGCGCGCACACACACACTATATTTGTTAATTTTTATAAAAGTATTACCATTAATTATAACTTTATTTTTTAAAATATAATATTTTAAAAAATATGTTTTAAATTTTTTTTAATTCTTGATTAATATTTTAGTTAAAATGATTACAATTTTTTCTTTTAAAATCAAACTATAAATAAGAATGATTTATATTTTTTTAAACAGAAAATTTATGAAAAAAATAAATAAAATTAATAAAATAAAAAATTTTAATTATAAAATTTTAAAATGATTTTATTCTATCGAACCCGTAATATAGCGAGAGGCAACTGATTAGTTTTTATCCTATAGCACAACACCGAATAGTACAACACAGTAATTAGTTACCGAACACTACTTTTATCCTACTGCCACAACACAACATGACACTATTTTTATAAAGAATTGGTATGTTATGACTTTATATCTGCTTAGTAAATTTGTTTTATTAGAATAAATTGATTAAGTAATTTGGGATTTAGGCTGGTCGAAAGCCTTATCAATTTCTTTGATTCTTTTTTTTTAGTTTTTAGAAGTTAAAAATTACTCTCATAAAAATTTTAATCATTTAATATTAAATAAAATATGTAATTGTTTAAAATATTTTTAGTATATTATAGTCTTTATTGGTTACTTTATATCTCAAAAGCATAGCAATATAATTTAACTAAATTATTTAGTTGTTTTAAATATTTATAAGCACGGTACAATAACCAGTTATCGAATAATATTTTTATCTTATAGTATAGCACAATGCAACAGAGCACAACAATCACAACAAAGCATGGTAAAACAGTATCAAATAGGCCCTTCTTATATTATTCCAAACTTATAATTTGAAAAAATCACATCAATCTATCACTGCATGACTTAATTGAAAAAAATTTCATTATTTGAAGAATTTGAATAAGAAATCATAAGTCATAAACTTCATCCAAATGGCAATGGCCATCTCTTTATTTGACTCAACCAAGTTATCTCATACTGTAAGGTTCGAAATTGTTAATTTTTCTTTAAAAGAACAAGAATAAAAGAAAGATTGACAGCCATATATTGAGGAATAGTTTTGGCCCATCAATGCTTGGGTAATTAATTTGAAAAAAATAGCAACTTCTTTCAATTTTTCATTAAAAAAAAATAATAAGAAGGAAATGCTTAGTTATCTTAGATTACCAGAGTTGATTCTGTTAGCAAGTCAAATGCTTTGCCAACATAATTAAAGACTAAAGAATTTTAAAAATCAGAAAATGATAACTAGTGATTGTCTCTCTTAATGGAACCCAATTATTGAATTATATCCTCATGCACCTCAATGTTAATGCTACCAACAAGCCTATATAGGTGCTTTCTGGTTCATGCAAAATATACTTTTGAAAGCTCCGTGGATGGGATCAATGCTTGTCATGTCATGATTCTTTACGCTTTGTTTTCCATGATATTAAGATGGAGTACAGAAAAGTAGAAAGATTATGGTAATCCAGCTATACGAGTAACCTATGCTGTCTCGATGGTTGCTACAAATGTAAATGTTTTCACGTTCTGTGTCAACAACAAATTAAGACAGTCAGATAGAAAAGACAATAATCCTGTGACCATCTTTTTCCTATATATGTATTGTGAAAGACAGCAATGGTTATTTGCATGCGTCAACATATACATGAACATTGTCGCAACATTTACCTCTTCTGTTTGTTAGTGCTGATCACATGCTAATATTTGTTGATCATAGTTATTCAGCAAGCCTACTTTGTATCTATTTCTTTTTTAGCCAAATTTTGGTTGAGCTTGAATTTTTTCGATATCTTCGAGAACAAGAATGTGCAAAATGAAGAATATAAACAGAAAGCGAACTGTCATAGATCTACAATGCTTAATGCCCATGGTATACATGGCAACATAAAGAGAGAAAACCACTATAGTTTCACTTTACTGTAAATGCAGCACGTGATAGTGATCTTGGTTTTATATATATTATCAGTTAAATTACCACAAAAACTAGAGGTTCTTCCGCGTTAAGCGTGCGCAGGAGGCAGCAGCCAACAACTCTCATCTCATGTAAGTCTCTTTTCATATTTCAACCAGAAAGGTTCAATGAATGAATGTCTGAACATTAATGTATTCCTATATTGTGCATTACTCACATTGATTTAGAGAGAAATAGAAAATGACGTGTGAAGGTGGCAATAGTTTTAAAACAATTTGGTCGTCTCGCTAACAAGGACTAGCTAGCTAGCTAGCACGATTAGGATACGGAATTTCCTTCCATTAAGAAGTCTAAGGTTCAAATTGAGATTTGTAATGGAATTTTTCAACTGTGTAGCCGAAAGTCCCTTCTCCTTTCCTTTATGGTGTGGCAGAAGTGAATCATTTCCTTTCATTCTAACAAAATAACCTTACATCATTTCTTGAACCAGCAATATTTTTTATGCTAAATATATACCGTCATTTAAATTTAATTCCAACCAATTCTATAGATTCCTTCAAGATGTCAATTCTCAAATGGTGGTTACATCACTCACTAAAACATAAAATGATCTATTCCATGTCCAATTCACTATGCCATTGGCACCAATATCTACAAGGCAACACCTAGTTAATTAACTTTTGGCCATGAAATATTAGTGTGGAATCCTATCTGCAAGAGACTGCTGTAGAACTTCAATATTGGTATTCCTTCCATGGTTGAACCAAACCAGAGTAAATATTTATAATTATGGAAGGGTTTCTTTTAGGTAACGTGAAACTTGATGCCGTATTTAGTCCGTATTTAGTCCATATATACCACTTCAATACATGCCAAATTCACAACCAAAGTCAGCAAAAGTGCACACAGTAAATAATATCACATCAAAATTTCCAAAGGTAAATATTCTTTAAGTCTCGTACATGTAATTATGTAGATAAATAAACTCAATAATTTCTGTTTCTTTTTCTTGCCCATTGGTAGAGGTGACGTTAGATATGGCATTGTCTATTCTTTCCTGAAAGTGACATTTTTCGATCTGGCACTACTAGTCTGCGTGCTATATATTTGAACCCTCCCATTTCTTCATTCCCATAAAGACTGCTAACTATTTTCACTGTCTTCTGCCTTCAGCAATCTAGTGTTTTCTGCATAAACAAAGCCATGGCTAAACCAACATTCTTTCTTCCCATTCTCCATTTCCTGCTGATACTTTTGTTCTGCAATGCTGGTATATGCTTCATGTCTCTTATCATCCCATTGTAATTTAAAGCTTCATTCTTGTAAATTTCTTGCATTTATATCTGCATTGGATCTTCTGGTCCACTTCTTGGACTGCAGATATAGCTTTAAACAAATCATCATCCATTTTTTGAATGCTTTTGTATTAGAATGTTAGTTTATGATTTTCTTGTTTAAATGTGCAGGAGGCCGGATGATCAAAAGGGCTAATGCACAGGTATACTGAACACTAAAATCTCTACAATCTTTCACCTAGAAGTCTAGACTGGATCTTTAATAGTCAAAAATTAATTTCTTAAGTTGATACAGGATAAAACCTGGTGTGTTGCAAAGCCATCATCAACTGAAGCTGAACTGTTTGCAAATCTTGAATTTGCTTGTGGTCATGTTGATTGCAAGACCATACAACAAAATGGACCTTGCTTCAACCCCAATACTTCCATCAATCATGCGTCAGTTGCTATGAATCTTTACTACAGTTTCCATGGCAGAAACATTTGGAATTGTGACTTCCAGAAGTCTGGTCTCATTACTAAAACTGATCCAAGTAAGGGGCTTTTTTTTTTTTTTTTTTTTTTTTTTGCATGAAGAATTCTCTATGTGTCATAATTAATGTACAGATAAATTGTGTTTTCTAATTAAGATGATAGATTGTGATGGGAATTTTATATATTTTCAGGTTATGGTACCTGCAAATATGCTTAGTGGGTGCACAATGTTCTGAAGAATTTATGAGTTTGGTTGCATAATAAGCTGGAGTCTCTTCGCTACTCTTTCCATAAACTACAGCTTTAATGATCTATATAAATAGGAAAAATAAAAAGTTCAAGGTATCTGGCATATGCTTCTTTTGTCTCAGGATTAGCAATCTGGAATAAACGTAGAGAAGTCGTAAAATCTCGCATGTACTCATGAAATATCTAATACAATAGAAACTATGAATTTTTCTATCAGTTAGTACTCTGTTTTCTTCATTTAAAGTGCAATAAATTCCCATTAAGCACAGACAAAAACTAACAGACCACCAACCCTAACCATGAGGATGTAGTGTTGCTGAAACTTGACAACGATCATATCACCAAAGACTGAAGTCTTTGAAAAGGTCAGGAACTTTTAGCTGGGAAATCCCAAGTGTTTAAACTAGAGGAAACTTCCTTTTCATTTCTGATTTAGCAGACAGATATTATTAGGGGTGAGCAAATGGTTCGGTTAATCGAAAATCGAATCAAACCGAACCGAATTATGTATTTTGGTTCGGTTTTAAACTTAAATTTATAAAATTAAAAACCGAACCGAAAAACCGAAATTATTTCAGTTCGGTTCGGTTTTTGAAAGAAAAAAATCGGTTTTCACCGAAAACCGAAAAAATTAAAAAAAAAATTCTTTTTTTTTTTTAACCCTAATTGGCTAACTTCACTAAATCAAAATCAATTTTTAGCGGCGCCTCCCTAACTCCCTATCCTTCGCTCCATCTTCTCCAATTCTCCTTCATCATCACTTCATCGAGTCGGAAGAGGCATTCATGAATTCTAAGATTCTTAATTTGGTTAACTATCAATTGAAAAAATTAAATAAAGTTGATGACTAACTCGCAATCAATTGTCTTTTACAAGTTTAGTTGTTTCTTTACAAGACAATCAAATGAAATTAACTTACTATTGCAAGATGGTTTTAGGTCTCTTTGATCTTGAATTTTACAAACCGAAAGAAAGTCGTTTTAATTTCTTTTCTACCGCACAAAATTGCTAATGAAAATCTTTTGGACTACATTTTTTAATGGGAATGATGATTGTAAAATTATTAGGGATGTTATACATATTGGTAACCTTTACCTTGCTTTATATATCTTGTTATGATAGTGATTGATGTTGGAAAATTATAATCTTCAACGGTGACTAATTCGGTCTAAAATTTTGTTTCCTGCAGTTCATTCCCAATGGCTTTTTAGCGAGATAAGCAAGGAGATTATAGAGGTCAAATCAAGAATTAGGATGTTGTTAGTGCTTGATGAGTTCGGAATAAGCAAAAGAAGGAAGACAACTACATTTTTTTTCTTCTCTCATTTAGGACATTCAGTGTGTCAACTGTGATTAGGTAGCCGCAAAAGATATTTCCTATGTAAGGGCTTTGTTTTCTTATTGTCTTTTTTTTTTTTTTATAGTAAATGGTGAAAATGATGGTGGCTTAGGACAAATAATGAAACAATGGTCTATAATTTTTTTTTTCAATAAAACATTTTGGTTAAAACCGAAATATTTTGAAACCGAACCGAAATAATTTGGTTACAAACCGAATTTACCGAATTTATTTTGGTTCGGTTTTGGTTTTTATTTTTCTTGATTCGGTTAACCGAAAACCGAACCGAATCGTACAAAACCGAACCGTTTAACCGTTTGCTCACCCCTAGATATGATGCCTATGAGGCTATCTATGTCTGCAACAACTGAAATTGGCTACTTTGAGCTATAGTTGATTACTAATCACCAGCACCAACGTACCTATGTTAACTTTTGCTTTAAATTTTAAGTCATTTTCCAATGTCACTTTGCTAACAAATCTAATAAGATTAATCTTAACGTCCAAAATAGTATTAACCACTTAGCCTGCAGTCATACCTTTAATGGGGAGTTATGGACTGATTTGATCATGGAAGTGTAAAATATTGTATATGCTCGATTTTTTTTTAAAAAAAAATTAATTAAGTAATTTAATTAGTTTTTTACGTGCTAGTTCAGGTCCTTTTTTTAGTTTTAAAATAGATACAATTTATACAACAAATGAATTGAAGTGATGATGGACATCATCCAACTCAAAGTCTTAAGTCATGCAAAGATTGACACTCATATTTTGACATGATTAGTGTCTATATTTTGTTTTTAAAATGTATTAAAAAAATTGGCCTAATTGGTTCGAAGTAGGATTTGCTTTAAAAAAAAAAAAAAACTCAATTGTTAATTTTTTTTAAAAAAATATTTGTTAGCAAATTGAAACGTTTTAGCTAAAAAAAATCTAATTTTTTCAATTCAAATTTAATCGATCAAATATAGATGATGCGGCACGATCTTAACCATTAAGAATCATCCATATCATTATGAGAAGATTTTAACTTTTAATCTCTAGTAAAAACTTCTCAGCTTGGACTATTAAGATTTTTAGGATGTGAATGATTCTTAATTGTTAAGATCGTGCCACAATTGTTCCAAAGTTAGGACTACAAGCTATGACCAAAGTGCTAAAAAAATTTTAGGATGCTCAACTTAAACAACTCAACTTAGACAATAGTAGAAACAACAACAAATGTTCAAAGTCTTCCAAGTTAACAATATTGTGTTTACCCAAGCCCTCAATAACATCACACAACTACTAACTACAAGTGGAATTTCCCAAACTATTGTCCCTTAAAAGTCAAAATCCTCTTATAATGATATGGATGATTCTTGAATGTTAAAATCCTCTCATAATGATATGGATGATTCTTGATTGTCAAATTTAATCGTTCAAAAAATTGGATTCTTAAAAGTTAAAATCCTTTCATAATGATATGGATGATTCTTGGTTGTTAAGATCATGCCGAGACTCGTTCCAAATTTAGGACTATAGGCCATGACCAAAGTCTTGAAAAATTTTTAGGATGCTTAGCTTAGATTATAGTAGGAACAATAACGGATATTCAAAGTCTTCCAAGGTAATAATGTTGTATTTACTCAAGCCTTCACTAACATCACACAACTACTATCTATAGGTGGAATTTCTCAAACTATTGTCCCTAAACTATTAATGTTGATGATCATCCCATGTTACAACGGTTGCCAAATAGCGACGAATGTATAAGGAATTTTAACGAGAACAATTTAGCAATGAAAATAGCCAATTAGCGATAATTTTGTGATAAATACGAGACCGAAGAGATAACTCGTTCACTCGCATTTTAGCGATAGAAATTATAAACATTAGTGATAGATAATCCATTGTTGATCAACAAAGGAAAAAAAATTTCATCGTAAAGAAAATAACGACGATGACTTTTGCTATAGAAAGCTCGTTGTCACAAATCCGTTGTTAAGTACAAATAGAAATGAATTTTTACTATATAGCAACGAAAAAATTCATCGTTATTTTTTGGTTTTCTTGTAGTGTGGAATTCTACAGCAAGTTTGTTAACTAGAATTAGAGTTAATATAAAAAGTATTGTTCGTTACTATTTATAAGATTTGAAATGAAATGAAAGAAAAAAGTATACATAATATTAATGGAGGGTGGCATGTTTATTTTGATAATTGAACTTATATCTCTAAATTAGGTTTGGTTAGATTAATCGGATAAAGATTCCATTTGATTGAGTTAACTTAACCTATAAATCAAAACCTCTTATAAATCAAAACCTTTAGGTATCCTTTGATTATCAAAAATTAAAAATTTGAATGAAAATGCTGGAATCGGAATGAAAAATATGACATTGAAGTGACATTTGTATTTCCTCTATTGTGTTTGAAATACTAATAAGGATTTAGAATAAAAATTTTTTTTTTTAATATATAGTTTTTAATATGAATAAGAATAATGATTAAAAATTAATTTTATAAATTATGATAGTAGTAAAAATAATGAAGATGATTGTAGAAGTGGTGGTGGTATTAGTGGAGTAAGAGAAGGATGAAGAAGAAATTGTAGTAATAACGAGTATAGTAATAACAATAATATATTTTAAAAAATTGATATCATCACCATAAGATGTGGTAGAGGAAGAAGAGTTATGGTGATGGTATAATAAAAGTGGTGGCGACAACGATGGTGATAATGGAAGAAGAATGGTAATAGAATAATAATAATTTCTTTTATCATCACCATCAATGGAAATGATAGTCGTAGTCGTGGAGGTGGTGGTCTTAGTAAAAGTAGTTAATACATAATAAATAAAAATAACATATCATTATTTTGAAGAAAAAAATTTACTCTCATTTCTTGTTTTTATTCTCACCTTCCACATGAGATAAAAATAAAAATTTTATTTCTTTTAACTAAATAGCTATAAGATGAAAATAGAACTTTTATTCTCATTTTCACTACTTAATTCCCGATAACCAAACAATACCTATGCAAATCTAAAAATCTAAAATTTGAAATATAAAGATTCAATGATCGATTTAGTTACCTGGTTTTGAAGTCTAGTTTATGGAGTTTAGGTTCGATTATGTTATTTGTAGCTCCCATGAACTCCTTTTCTCTCCGCAATATTTTCTTTATTTTTAACTTTTATTACATTATTAATTAGAGCATAACATAGATAAAGGAATTTGTTAAAAAAAACATTTATTCTTTTTTATATTGAATTAATTTATGTTATTTCTTCTAGTTTTACGGAAACAAGTTATGTTTAAGTGTTCATTATAACAAAAACAATAATAATAATAACAAGAAAACATTAAACTATATCTTTTACAAAAAGTTATGGATGTTGAGAATCACCTAACTTTGGTTTAGGAAATAGAAACGCAAATATTGCTTTGCTAGTAATAGTTGTCACTCTATATAAATGATTGTATTATCCTTATTGTTTATTCACATTCATCACCATCTTTACACAATCAAAATGCCTAAACCAACTCTTACTCCCCTCATCGTCTCGCTTTTCCTTTTCTCCTTCAACTATGGCATGTATGACTTTCATTTTCGTGGAGTTTTATATTACAATTGTAGTGTTTTCA